CTTCTAGGGCACTTTTATTTAGGATATAGTGATGGCACATTTATATTCATGCCATATGTTTCTATATATTTCATAGTATAAAACACTCCATTGACCCACTATGCACAGAGAGAAAAGTCACAGGATACAACAGTTGTGGTTTTTTAATGTCTGCTCACAAAGTCATTCTCGTAATTATCACATGTGCCATTTCTGTTAAAAAAAACAAAGAGAGAGGGGAAGGAGGAGAGTGGGTAGAGAGTCACCTCATACATTTGACCTTAATGAGGCAGGCTATGAATACTCATAATGATTTCTCAAACTGTTTGAAGATGAGCAGCTTGAGGCAAATGAATTGTACTCGAAAGGAGATAGGCTAAGTACCACTCAAATGGAGCCATTATGCTTGCAGCTATTTGGATCCTGAAATGAGATAAAAGCTGCATCATGGAGGCATAAAGACTTCAGGACCAATAGAAAGAATTAACTGACATATCTTCTGGTAAAATACATTATGAAACCTTTCTGTTCTACTTTGCATCAGTAGTCCAAGTGATGAACCACTAGAAACAGCAGGCTACGATTTTCCTCTCCTCAGCTTAAAGCCTCAAGCAACTACAGGAGTGCTGATCTCCCTCTCTTGCTGACATTCCTTACAGCCATTAGGATAAATAACTCTGGCCTTATGGTCCCTCTGCATTGTTTCTCTACTTATTCCTCACTCTAAAAATTCTTGCAGGACAAATACACAGAGTAAGGTCTTAATAATCTTACTCAACTGACACTTTTTCCCCATCCTCCTCATAACAAACATAAAAAAACCCCCATGAAAAATGGAAAGTAACCAATTTCTTTCTTGTGTCTTTTTCAACGGGACTAAAACTAATCTGTCAGAGGAAAAGGAAACAGGCCTAGAGATTCAGCAATATTATACAGAGCATGGAATGAAGCCACAATATACTGCAGAGCATGGAATGAAGCTGCAATATACTCAAACTTTGCACAAAAATAATTAGGATATTAAGATATTCCAACAAACATCTTAAAAGAGCAATTCTTTCCACTACAGCTGCAGCTCTAATAACAATTAAGGAGAAAACAGGAAAGGTCAAACTGGATACTGAGAGAACAACCCTCCAGTTTCAGAAAAAAACCAGTTTGAATGCAGAGTCTAACCTTGCCTTGTGGACCTGCCTCTACAAGAGGGTAAGATGACAGAGCTTTGAAAGAGTTCCCTGTTGACCTTAGCCACAAAAGAGGCTAAACTGAAAAGCAGTCTAATGGTCAAACATTGTGCCACAACACAGCATCAAGGAATACTTTTTCCATAAGTGACTTAATCTGAACAATTTCAACTTTCTACCTCTAAACACTTCCAACACTGTTTTTCAAAAAAAAAAAGAAAAAAGAAAGGAAAAGGCAAAAAGCTTCCTAAAATATACATAGTTACTACAGACAACTATTTGGAAAACTGGATAACATGAACAGCAATGCCCTAGATTTTGAAAAGCTATTTTACTGCATCAGAAATAGTTGGAATGTAATATCTCAGACATCTTCATTCCACTATGAGGACATAAAATATAAGTGCTTGGTTCCTCTTCACTATCAGAACACAGCTCTGAGTACAACCTTTGTTTGGAGAAGACAAGGACAAGAGACTTGGAAGGAGAAGCTTGGGGATTTCTTTGAAAATAGAGTTATTTACAGAGACCATGAACTACTGTTGGGAGCACACGCAATTACATACTTCTGACTTTGTACTATTGAATCACCAGCACATCTTAGAAACCAGAACAATTTTTAGTTACCACAGCAACATCTGTGAAGGGGGGGGGGGGGGGTCTTGTCATGACACTCAACAGTTTACTAAATTGAGATACACTAAATTTGGATATGGATTATGCCCAGAAATATGCCCAGACAGCTGTCTTTTGCACCACAATTTTCTCTCTTTTCTTTTTAATATTGTCACATTTGGGTATGCTACTGCTTTCTGACTATAGACTCTGTAAGTGAAATGCTGATATAATGATGAAATTATGAATTTTGTGGCCCCATATTTGTGATACGGTATATTAAAGGGCTGAAGACATTATTTTGCAACAAACAAATTCAGTGGCTTTTCAGGATATTGTCCTTGCTCTAGAAGGCTTACAGTCAAGTGAGAATGACACTTATTATCCAACATTTTGCTCTAGTAAAACTATACTCCAGAATATAGTATAGAATTATATGAATAGAGTAATTGTGAAAGTAGTCCATATCTGTTAAACCACCTTGCTTTGCAAAGATTGATATTCACTTTGCCAACTTTGTGGACTTGCTTTGTCAAGGAATGGAACAAGAAAGCTGCACTTCACATTTTTAGTCATTAAGATGTTCTCTACTTTCTAGTTTCATTCGAATCAAAGAAGGCGGATTTAATATGTGCATTAGTATCTTGTGTAGTAAGTTAATATAGAGATGTTTATTTTACATAGTGGAAGAATAGGAACATTTAGATTTGACTCTCAGACTAGAGAGAAAAATGTAGTTAAGAATCTCTATCACAATAAAATATCACTACCTTGCCATATTATTTTTATTCATTTAGTATACTCGACATACCAATCAGTTTAGCTAAATTTGTAGGTTACTTAGCTTTATGTTCACAAAGAAATATTTTATTCAGCTAGTTTAATTTTTTTTCTAAATATTGCTATAGTAATACCATAGTCCTGCACAAGCTGGATACTAAAATTTTTTGAGAGTTCTGCTGATTGTTGCATGCTTTAGTGCTTTCTGTTATATGACAAGGTATGTATCATTGCTACAGAGTTCTACAGAACTGTGTTACTGATGAAGCAAAGCGCTCAATCTCCTTCCCTACAATGGGTGTGTGTGCTGCTCATAATAACCTATATAGATTCAGAAAAAGATTTAGGGTGTTGTGCTAAAATTGTAGCTCTTGGCCCTCCAGCATCAGTGCCTCAGATGACCACTAATCAAAAGAAAACTAAAACTGTGGCACCTGCAACATATAGGCACTACACAGTATGTACACAGAGGTGATAAGCTTTACTCTGCTGGCAACAACTGTCAGTTTTAGAAGCACAGTTTAAAATTACTTCCCATCAACTTTGACATATCTCTTGCAGTCATTTGCATTGTAATGAAGAAATAGTTGGTTTAGGGTTTTTTTTTTTTTTCAAAACTGCAATGTTTATATGGATATTAGTGCAAATTGCCTTTTTCTTGTAGCTAAGAGCTGCTGATCAGAGTGATCCAGTTCAAACAGAAAACTGCATTTTTCCACAGCATGCTTCAGAGCCAAGTGAATTAAATCATGTATCCTAATGTTCATGATCTCCTCGCACTGGTTAGGAAAAGGTCACATGTATATACTCTGAAATTGTTTTGTAGGTGAGAAATGTTCATAAAATGAAATTATTAATTTTACTTCTCCTTTTTTTTTCCCTCCAGTATTGAAGAAGCTACTAGGACCTTCTGTTCTATTTTTAAATTTAACATGACTGAGCAATGCTGCAGTACTGGATGAGTGCACTTTTCTGTGCCTAACCCCACTAGGGCAGTATATTTTTAATTTACAAATTTACCCTTGAAGAGTAACCAAAAGCTATAGCTAACAATCTGAACACAGCAGTTCTGAATAGCAGAAATCACTTACATGACAGCATTCTTGGCCTTGTTTCCTGCAGTGCCCTGCTGGATTAGTTACTAATGCTGTTCAAGGTGCTTGAGTTATGATTTAAAATGCTCTACCTGGCTGAGGATCTGAAAGAGTGCCTTTACACCTGTGTCTCAGGACAGATGGGTTGGCCTGTCTCTCCAGTCCAAATGGGATTGACAGCACTTCCAGATCTTAGATCAGGCTCCTTTCTAGGCATGTATTTATTATACAAAAGCAGACATTATTAGCAATGCGGAACAGTGGTATTCTGTTCTCCAACAGGCTGTCTACCCATAAACACCTGATTTGGAGTTTGCTGCCTGTGCCATGCATCTGTCCCCATCTCTCCCATTCCAGTTGGAGACACCCCATCCCACAGCCCCAGCTATGTCCAGGTTTCTGCCTCCAGAAGAGTTGTGGGAGCTTTAGCATCTGTGATCTCTAAAAAGTCAGAGACAGTGTTTCAATCTATGACAGTGCCTTCACCTTCATGCTGCTGATGATGGAATCTGAGGCATACACTAGATATCCAATGCAAACATAACTTTTAAGGTAGACATTTGGGGAAAGTCAGACCACATGTTTGTTTTATCAGCCATCCAATATTTCATATCAGAAAAAGTCCTGAGACAACTGCTATGCATTAACAGAACAAAGAAATAATATATTCTCAGCGCAAAAAATTGCCCTGTTTTTCATTATCATATTTTCCTGCCTCATCATGGCAACACAGATGACTAAGATGAGATACTTTGGGTGAGAATACAAAAGTAGTCTTAAAAGCATAAGACAATACACGCAACAAAATCAAAATAAATTAATGTAGTTATATAAATATTATCTTCAGATTTTAACTGGCATTAGAAAAACAGTTTAAAAGTCAAAACAGACATTTAGGAAAACTTAAACATTTTGCTTCTTCAGTAATTAATTTGTATTCCCTGCCTGTGGTGGTAAGCTGCCCTCTGCAACACCCCATGAACAACAGATAAAACTGAAATCCACTTGGCTGATATACAACAGATTTGGTAAGTGGCCATTTCTATCAAATTTTTCTGTATGTATCTTGAAATTTTTTTTAATGATGTAACACTGAGGATACAAAGACCTATTAAGACTAATAGGTGCAATTCAAAAGCCTTATTAAATGGAATAACTACTGCCTTGCTCAGTCTATCCTGACTAGTGACAGCAGATTTGATGATCTCTCATGAAAAGCTCCTATTATTTTTCTTTTAACAAGAAATATGAAATATGAACAGCCTCTTTCTCCTAACTACATTTAAAAAGACCCAAAAAAGCAAATCCCCCCTTCAACCAGCTTAATTAGTAAATACAATGCAGTTACCTGTCATGTTGCAGTAAACTTTCAAAGGTCCCAGTGCCCCACTGCCATCTGGATCTATCCAGTAGTAATTTGAAGTTTTGCCCAAGTGTTTGTATGCTTCACAAGAGAGTTCATAAATAGCTGAAAAGAAAGAAAACAGAGCAATAGGAATAGTTTTAACTTAGGGGAAAAAAAAAAAAACTTAGGACAATTAATGGATCCTGTTTATATACAAAGAATTGCACCTCTGACATTAAAGCAATATCATTGAGGTTCACAGAAAACAAAGCATCTTTCCAAAATTATAGAAGTGATTAAAAGCTTGCAGGACATAATTTCTGCTTTTTTAATGTGAAGAAAAGTAAGAATAGGAAGACAATTCTAATAACTTGGAGAGAGAGAGGAAAATAATACTTGTTCAAGAGAACATTTAAACCATTTTAAACAATATAGTTAATAACTTTGTTTATATTCTTATTTAAGATTCTATTACTTCTATTGATACAACATACTTTTACCCTTAGGTTTTTTTTCCAAGAGATACTAAAAGAGCTTATGAGTTTTCTCCCTGCAAATTTTTTAATTGTTAATGTTTTATTACAACTCAGAATAGCACTGAGTTTCAAAATTGTGAAATTTCTCCCTACCTGCAATATCTGTCTCTACACAGCACTGCAGTTACTCTATTACACATATACAGAACTAATTCTCTTGCCAGCAAGGTCTGAAACGTCACAGTATTTGCTGGAATAAGTTGAATTGATATAGCAGACAGGTTTGTTTCAGTTTTTCCTCGAATACTGCTTTCTATTTCAAGTAATAAAATTGTTTGTCAAAATGTATGATGAATAGCTCAGACATAATAAAAAGCATTGTAGATAGAAGTTTTTCTAGCAATTCCCATATTTTCTTACAAACGTATAGTTTTTACAAAGTTATGTGCATTAAATATGAAGAAATACTATTATGTAAAGTAAAAAAAAAACCCTGATAATTTATAGAAATTGTTGTGTGTGTATATATGCATAAAAAATTGAATTACATAGATATTTTCCTATACAATTCTTCAAAAATGAATGCGTAATGCTGCTTTGTTTTTCAGGACCAGATGGCACAGCTTTTTTGTTTGGAATCAATCAATCAGCTGCTAAAAGAAATGAAATGTTTGTTTAACCAGACTTCATATCCACTCTAAAAATTCATCTAATTTGTTGGCAATTCTTGCAAGCAATTTCTTTGCTAGGACTGGCTTTATTTCAAATGTCCATAAGGACGAGCTGTTTTGCTGGGCTCTGATGATGAGGAGTGACTGATCACACATGCACATTTAAAGGCCTCTAACCAAATATCAAGATATGGGAAGGAAAGTGGAGTAAAAAAAAAATCAAATGTTGATGTGGCACAAATGCAAGGCTAAAGGCTGTTATCTATCTACAATTTCCTTGTGATGCTACAAGAGAAGGACTTTTCTGGAAAGTTTTATGTGCTCATTAGAGGACAAAGTAAATTTTATACAAGTAGATGACACTTTAATTAAATTGTAAGACATTACAAGCCATTTCCCCTTTCTCCACAAACAAAGGTCAACATATTCTTCCATTATCAAGGAGACTCTGTGTCTGTTTTCAGGCACTTCATGCAGAATTCATAAGGAATTCATAACCTATTTTGTTCAGAAGTGTTTCCCTCACTTTCTACACACTATCCAAAAAAGGTAATAAAATACTAGCTCCATCAATGTATAATTGTTGTGATACCAACAGGCAAATTTTAATGGATGCACTCCATGTCAAGTCAAGAAGATAAAAAATATTGTTTGTGATCTTAATGAAGTTTGTGTTTTAATTTTCTAAACTCTTTCTGAAAATCAAGGAAGCTTTGTCTCTGTAGTAACCAGACCTTTATGTAAGGCCATATGACATTTTTATCAAGTTTGCTGGCTTTGAGAACACAGGCCAATTTTTTTTAAAGAGATACTGCTACAATTCAGAAAACAACATTAGAGGGTCCTTTAGAAGTCAAATGTTTTTTATAGAAAATCAGGGGTTTAGGCACAACACCCTTCTTTCTGTTCTTCTAGAACAGGAGAAATAGAAAGTGGTATGTAGGTATGAGTTGTATAGCACAGAAAAGGCTGCTTTTTAATAAGTCAGCTTTGTCAAACTTCAACATTATGTTGAACACTAACTAATAAAAATTAAGATTGTTCTTCAAATGAAGGTAAAAGAATGGGATATTTTTAACAAATTCAACTTGTGAAAAGTGTTATGAGTGTGGGGGAGCCTTCTGGGAGGTATTATGCCTGTGTATGGAAACCTAAAATTAAGGTTGGAAAAGACCTTTAAGATCACCATGTCCAACCATCAACCTATCACCACCACCATGTTCACTACTAAACCATGTCCTCAAAGTGCTGAATCTACAGGTTTTGTTGAAGAGTTCTAGGGATGATGACTTCACCACTCCCCTGGCAGTATGTTCCAATGCTTTGCAACCCATTCTGGGACTCTGAACCCCTCTGACACAACTTGAGGCCACTTACGTAGATGCATACATATCTTAAAAATGGGAAACAATAAAAATGTAAAGGTAGGCACCAGTGCAGTGAGCAGTAACAAAAATCACTTCACAGGCACATAGGAACAAAGTGAAGGGACAGGTGAATTTCACATACTGACAAAATAACCAGTAATTAAAGGTGCAATAGGAAACTGCAGTTATGTTCCAGTGTATGAAAACAATTGATGACAGAAAGAGATACTGTTGACTTTGGATGGCAAAAGGTAGCCACTTGAAAAGAAAAAAGAATAAAGAAAAGAACAATAGCAGCAAGCATCGGGCAGAAGACAACTCTGAAGCAGAGGAAAGAAAGACATGATACCAAGATGTTGAAGTGGATGATGACAAAGAAAGGAAGACAGCACATTTTATCAGCCACTACTTGCTTTTGTAAATGTTACACAGAAAGATCAGTAAGACAGAACAGGTGAAAATAGAAATTAGGAAACTCAAAGAAAACCTAGAGTAGATGAAAGGATGAACATTTAAGGACTGCTGTTTTAGAAGTCACCCAAGCATGCTAAAACAGAGAAGAAAAGGAACACAGAATGAAAGGAAGGGACCACGGCAGATTCAAAATAGCTTAAATGAGAAAACTGGTAAAGGTGACAATAAAAAAGCAAAAGACCTAACTGAGCTAAGAAAAGACAAGGAAGCAAAATGCAAGATTTGGATATAAACTTTACAGTGTTCACTTGCAAATTAGCAGAAATGGTTATATATATCCACATAGAGAGGAGGCAGAGGGAGAGAGGGAAGGGCTTTGTAGTGCTGATTCCATCTGGAAGATAGGAAAGAAAAATAAACAAACAAAAATGTGGGAGAACTAAGGACACAAGGGTAACAGATTTTTGCTTTTCAAGCCAGTAGAAGTGAAATGCCAAAAATGTATATTTGCTTTCTTGGTACCTGGTCCAAATACACAACATATGTAGTCTTAAGGGACTTCAGAATAGTAGTAAACCTCAAAATCTTCCAAGCTGAATGTAAAAACTCACAAGAACCCTGATGTCTGAAAAAGCTACTTCTTGCATAATAAATCCAGCTGTCAGTTTGTTAGGGTTTCTCAAAGGTCACTTCTATTCTTTCTGAGGAGAATAGGGGAAAAAAAACCCTCCCTGCAAACCACTTCTTCACATTTTACATGCTTTCGCATTGCATCAAAAACTGTCTACAAGCTGCAAGAGGTGAAAACCTGGTCAAAACAGTGATAGAAGCTCTTAGAATGAGGAAAAAAGTATGCACAAAAAGAATCACAACTAGAAAAAGAAGAGCACCAGAAAATGCAATAGCCTTTTTAAAGTTTAATCTCCTGAATAATACAGATCAAACTGAGACCGCCAAACCCATTTAATGATAAAATTTGAAAGGGTTTTCTCTGTTACAACATGAAGATAAAAAGTTTTAAAACCATAAACACTAAAAAAAAAATCAAAAATCACTGTATTTTTCTGTGTGAAGCATCAAGTTTATCTAAGCTTCTTGGTCTAGGCAGAAAATCTAGTCTTTTAAATTAGCTAATAAATGCTACCATGAATGCATTTTGAAGTTCACCATTAACTAAGCTAACATTTGCAACAGTGGATTTGAATGAATGTGGCTTGAGGGGAAAAATATATTCTCTCAGAAAAGCTTGATTAGGTAACTAGGCTAAGGGTGAGCAGTCTAGAGTGAAACAAATACTAACAACAAACCTTGTAGCTGCACAGACTTTAAGAGCATTTTCATTGCTGTCTTTCTTTATGGGTTCTAGACACCAAAGAGAATGTGGTGATGCATGGGGAAGTCAACACTCATTTCTCAGTTTTCAGGACCCTCTATTTTAAAAATTAGAGGAAAAGAAAATAGTTAAATGAAGAGTTTACAGCATAGTTTTTTCCAGCTCAAGAATGTTAGTCAGAAGTTGGAAAGAATTGACACCTCTTAGATTTCAGTGGCTCTTAAGTGATTGAGGGAAGCAGATGTTCTCACTCCTGTTTTACTTTCTGACTGGTGTAAAAATCAAGGGATAGTCATCCTGCACAGGTGGCACAGCTGCTGGCTATCTCCAAAAAGCAGAACGGCTGAATGACATAAAGGATTTAGAAACTCTGTGGCCCTATATGATGTTCCCACAAAATTTCATTAGCACCATGGTGAACTACAGTTTTTCCATCACTCTGGGAAAAGGCAGCTTTAATTTTAGGGCTGACAAACAGCCTCCTTTTATAAGTGCAAAGCTCATTATAAATAGATTACCTGGCATGACAGTCTGCACTATGTGGCTCAATGAATGTGTTGCAATATGTTTTGTTTCTGTCAGTGAATGTGGTTGCTGCAGGGAATACACTCCTTTAAACATCTACTAATATAGGAGTAAATCTCAGCTTTATAGGAATGTAGCAAAGGAGTAGATACAGAAAAATGGATGGAATTAAATGACAGCAAAAGTGACAAAAATAGGCAATGCATCAGATCCACAAAGTCTAGCTGTGTCTCTCCAGCACTTTCAAATTCTTGGAAAAATACTAAAAGCTAAATAGACTGTGAGGTGCTTGGGTTTCTGTAACTTAAAATGGTTTCAACTCTAGAGCCCTAAAAGC